TGGAGAGGTAGGAGCTCACCGGCACTTTCCCGCACTTTTGGAAGGCTGGGACTTCCCAAGTCAATCAGTGTCTCAGATCCTAGGGGGCCCAATCGGTGTGGGCTAACTAAGGCCCAGTGTTAGAGTATAATCCTGATTTTTTTTCTCCGGCTACTATAGCAGATGATCACAGGCAGGGTACTTTAAAACAGCATACATGGGTTCTCTTTTGGTTAGACAGTGAGAAGTCTAAAATCAATATTGTTGGGCTGAACTCCAAGCGCTGCTGGCATGGGCATCCTTTTATAAAGCAGGGGGAAATTCACCCTGTATCACCCAGAATTACTTGGCCAGTAGCATTCCTTGGCCTGTGGCGGCTTCACACACTTCTCTCTGTGTCCCTCTCAAACAAGGTACATGGCCACATGATAGTGTACCAGGACAATTTCTCCGTCTCAAGGCAGCTGACTTAATGTCACTGCTGAAACCTGCTTTCCAGACAGAGTATCATAGGCTCCAGGAGTATCACAGTCTCCAGGAGTATCACAGGCCCCTGGAGTATCACAGGCTCCTAGAGTATCATAGGCTCCTGGAGTATCACAGACTCCAGGAGTATCACAGACTCCTGGAGTATCAAGGATACGGAGTATCACAGGCTCCTGGAGTATCACAGGCTCCAGGAGTATCACAGGCTCCTGGAGTATCACAGGCTCCTGGAGTATCACAGGCTGCTAGAGTATCATAGGCTCCTGGAGTATCACAGGCTCCTAGAGTATCAAGGCTCCTGGAGTATCACAGGCTCCTGGAGTATCACAGGCTCCTGGAGTATCACAGGCTCCAGGAGTATCACAGGCTCCAAGAGTATCACAGGACCCTAGGATATTTTATCTTTGGGGGAACCTTCACTAAGCATAGCCTGGAGGGTAGGGAGTCTCTGGTTTTAAACTTTGATTTCATTTTGCTTGAGTCTCAAGGGGTTATAAACAAACCTAAGAGGCAGGTTTGGGTCTCCACTTCCTCCTGCCATAAAGATCCGAGCAGACAGACATCATACTCTTCTGATAGAGAACTTTCTCATGCAGCCCGAGTCCTCATCAACAGAAAGGGCTTCTACCTCCGGAATGGGATGTTGAGGAATTCAATAATTGGCTTAAAATACTGCCTGTGTACACCATATCTTCTTTTGTGACATAACTTTGGCCAGTGACTCTGTGGGGGCATCTCTCTCTCTCTCTCTCTCTCTCTCTCTCTCTCTCTCTCTCTCTGTGTGTGTGTGTGTGTGTGTGTGTGTGTGTGTGTGTGTGTGTGTGTGTGTAACTTCTATGGGCATACACACACAGTTTCGGGTCTCTTTTGATAGTGTTTTGTTTTCAGTGGGAGAGTACTTCCCTAAACACCCCTTGTGATCTCAGAGTGGGTGAGCTACAGACCACATGTTGGGAGACTCCGGTTTAGGGTCTAAAGAGCAAGACCTTCCAAGCCTGGGGTGAAGGGTAGGTAGGGTCATGGCGGGACTGAAGAGAGAAGGGAGTGAGTTCTGCTCTTCAGAATCCACTCTACTGGGATTAGAGTGGTTTTTTTTCCAGCCTTGCCCCAAGTAAACTCCCATTAGAAAGGGGTTCTCAGTGTTGGCTGCACAATGGAAAACCTCTTTCTAATTCTACACCTGAGAAGCAAAGCCAGAGCCCCAACCTTATACCCACCAGAAACTTCTGCAGGAAGCTCTCTCCTCCCTCTCTCCCTCCCTTCCTTCCTTTTTTGAGACAGGGTTTCCTCTATGTGTAGCTCTGGCTGTCCTGGAACTCACTTTGTAGATCAGGCTGACCTCGAACTCACAGAGATCTGCCTGCCTCTGCCTCCCAGTTTCTGGGATTAAAGGCGTGTGCCACTGCTGCCCTGCTTCTGTGAGAATCTTAATCACACAAAGACAACGTCTTTCTTGAACCTGGTGCCTCTATTTTTTGGGGGGTCTGGCCTTTCTTAAACTCCTCTCTCTCCTCTTGGCAGCCATGAGCCTGTAGAGAAGGCTACAGGTTACATCGTATCTTCTTTTTTCTTTTCCATTTTTCCCCCTGTGGATAAGTGTGATTGTGCTAATATTTCAGAGGACCTGGACAATAGCAGACACTTGCCTGTTTTTTTAACATTGGAAATGATGGAGTTGAACCAGGTGGAGTGTCTATAAGAGAGAGGGAGAGAGAGAGAGACAGAGAGGGAGAGACAGAGGGAGAGAGAGAGAGACAGAGAGGGAGAGACAGAGGGAGAGAGACAGAGACAGAGAGAGAGAGAGAGAGAGAGAGAGAGAGAGAGAGAGAGAGAGAGAGAGAGAGAGAGAGAGAGAGAGAGAGAATGGTGCGTATCCTGGGGTTAAGCACTTTGTGCAGACCTGCGTAAACCCACACTGACTCCACATGTCGGATCTGTCCCCTGTTTACTAAGATGCTAAGAAAGAGAAGGCCTACCCTGACCCTACTCTCCCTTTCTCTGCTTCCAGACGCCCAGCCCCAGGCATTTTCCTCTTCCCTGTCCTCTGGTTCAGCTCACCCAGTCTCCAGGCTCTTGCCCTCCAAATCCTGAGCTGCTTCTTAGAGTTGATTCCTCTGAGCTCTCTGCTGCCCCTGAAGAATTTACTTAATTAGAAGGTTCTCTGCTGCTCTAGGTATCTGGAACAGGCAGATAATGGGAGATGTGCTTCACATGAAGCCAGATAAGATGCCCAGAAGCAAACGGCCTCTCCACCTCACTGTCTCCCCCCAAGCGCCCCCCCGTGTCTTCTTGGTTTGTCCTCTCAATTGTCCCCATCCCTCCTCTTCTGCTACTCCCATGCATTTCTCTCTCAGCCAATAGCAAACATCCATGCCTGTGGGGTGAATTCTCACTGATTTAGACTGTAATGTGTGTGTGTGTGTGTGTGTGTGTGTGTGTGTGTGTGTGTGTGTGTGTGCATACCCACAAGTTCTATCTTTCCATAAAACTCATTTTGAACACTGGTACACTGTTGAGTACCAGAGACATAATAGTGTCTAGACCACAATAGTCCCACCGCAGACCTCATGCGTAGTGGAAGAGGCCACCGTGTACACGCATAACAGCAGCTGGGTGGTGGGCTCTGAGTCAGATATGAGTTCAAGGTTCCTGTGCCGTCTCTCCTGAGTTTTCTTCTGCTGTAACTGGGAGACCATGCCAGCAGCTAGCCTCCTTCTGAGTGACTGGCAATACCCTACCCTTATCCCAGGATGCCCTTGAAGGCTCCTTGTCTTGTCTTTTGCTGCAGATTTGTGAAAGAGAAACCAGACAGGAAGAGAAACATCAGGACAAGGTTTTGCAAGTATTTGTCTTCCACTAGCATACAATTTTAGACAAACGTTTTAAATAGAGAATATGGGAAATGATCCGACTGGAGCTTGCATAGATGGTAGTATAAGTAATAATAACCCATGTGCCAGGTTCTGGACAACGTTAACTTTCCAGGACAATCCAATAGCAGAGCCTGCCTCCCCCATCCATCACGCAGCAACACCGTCTCAGCAAATTGTTTACTTAAGAGAAGCAAACATGCTCTAAATCATCGGGGGCTCATTTCATAGATTGCTTGGCATTTTGAAAGAGCGATTGCATCTCCTACGCTGTGCCCTGAACCAAGCCCATAGAAGAAAAAATGTTGACTCGGTCTTTCTCCAACTCCCAATTGCAAATCCCCAGCTAGATTTCTAGTCTAAATAGCTCCTTCCCAGACCGAACACCCGCTGCTTCCTTATTGCAGGATTGCTCATCACAGACTCAATCGATGTGTTTGTTTCTTCCACCGCATGAAAAAGAGTGCATGCTGCTGCTCGAGGGACTGCAATCTCCATTTAATTGTAGACTGACTGTCTTTTTAATAAAGGGAGCAGAGAAACTACCCAAACGTTTCTCACTGCTGAAGCACAAATGTGACTTGGCATTTATACAGAGGGCCCAAGTTTGGTGGTAGGTTTAAGATGCAAGATGTTCTCTGGGTGTGGTCACTTTTTATTTTATTATATATATATATATATATATATATATATATATATATATATAATTTCCTATGAGAGGCAATTTACTTCTGCGTGGCCCCAGGGCTCTGTGGCACTGGGGTGATAATGACTTACTAAGCATTCCAGCCTGTAAGGTTAATGCCCCATCCCCAAGGTGTTTAATTTACACTGGGAGTAGTTTATTCACGGGCAGGATGTGGTCCATTAATTCCTGCTTTACCAAATTAGAAAACAAATCCACTGGGAGAGTAAATGACTTTCCCAGGTCAGAGGAGAAAAAGAGCTGAATCATGCCCTCTCCACTCGGGTGGCTGAGCATGGTGGCTGAATGTCATCATCTGTCTTCTGTGCCGTCCGCTGAACAATTAGTTTGTTCTTCAGCCTTCAAACCCCTTCTGAGCACCCAGAGACACCAAAAACGCCCTGCTTTAAAAAACCTCCACCAACATGACTTTTAGGGTCTCCCTCGGTGGTGTGGGTCAACATGTCACCCAAAAAGGGGATGCCAAAGTCTAAAGAGGAAGAAGTCCCCTCGCTCCAAAGGGTTGGCTGACACTATGACTCGGTGAACATCTTTTCACTTGGTGGTCTGAGGGAGAGGAATTCATCCTTCCTCAGAGGTGACGCCTGGGACTTGAGTGGCTGTGTAACCAACCAAGTCTCTCCTCCATTTGAGATGACTCCCTTCCTTCATCACCTCTGTGTCCCTAAAGAAAGAACCAAGTATTCCATTTAAAAAAGGGGGGGTTTGTAAAACACGGTTCTCTACCTTCCTAGAACCTAGCATTCCCAAGGGCATGTGGCGAGCTCACCAGGAACCAACAGAGCAGACAAACTCTATTCTCCACAGATCCACTTTGGAAGACACTGTCACCTTTGTCCTCTGCTCCGCTCCTGACGAACAAAGGAAGATTTGATGGACAGCTACCTTAGACAACTCTCCCTGAATGTTTGCAGGAAAAAACAGTGTGTTGCAAGGAAGGAGAAGGCCAGAGGCAGGGAAGGAAGACAACGTGTTTATTGAGTCTTTCACTCTTTCTTTTAGAGGCAAGGAACTCCAGGCGTCATCCACGATTCTTTCTTTAACATATCTATGTTTGAACCCGGCTGCATTCCTAAACCACGGCTCAGCGTGTCTGAGACTTGGGTTCCTCTCAGTGTTATTCTTGTAACACTAATAGTACTGGGGCTGTTGTCTTCCACGCTGATGCAGTTGAAGATTCTGGTGTCGGCATCCTTCTACCCTGGTGTGGAGAGGGAGCGAATCCAGTACCTCCACGCAAAGCTCCTAGAGAAAAGATCAAAGCGGCCACTGGGAGAAGTCGAAAGGAAACTGAGTCCGTACTTTAAAAAGGTAAGGTCACGGGGAATATGCCTATTAGGGGGAGTCAGCCTCTAATTAAGCTAATGCTGACTTCGGAAGGCAAACAATTTCAAAGCATTCTACACAGCTTTGCATCAGGAGGTCAACTGCAATATCACTGAGTGAGCCTATTGAATCAAGTATTTTGTAGATGGCTATTGGGAAGACCTATTGCATTGGCTCTTTTGGAACAATGGCCAATTATTTACCTTCCCACACCAAAGATAAAGTAAAAACATGGAAGGAAAAATATTCACCACTATTTAAATAATTTGTTCATTTTCTAATAAGTCTATCTCTATGTATATATATATACACATACACACACACACATATATATATATATAGAGAGAGAGATGTAGATATAGCTATATATGCCTCCTATACACATTATCGATTTTACTAATATTAATGGGAGAAAAACAAGAAACTACAACCTGTTAAAAGAATAATTCAAAGCATTCTCACATTCAGGTCATCAGGGCAAGGACAACAAAGTAAAGTTGCTTCATAAATGCCAAACTAAGCCAGGCAGTTGTGGCGCACACCTTTAATCCCAGCACTTGGGAGGCAGAGGCAGGCGAGTTTCTGAGTTCTAGGCCGGCCTGGTCTACAGAGCAAGTTCCAGGACAGGCTGCCCAGAGGGACCCTGTCTACAAAAACAAACACAAACAAGCAAAGTCAAGGGTGGATGGGAGGAGTCACTTGTCTCTAGAGAGAAACTCATTCCCTCTCAAGCACGAGATCACTTTCATCGCTGTTAGCAGTCGGGCGCCTTCAGCATACACAGCTGGAGATAATTACAGCCAATGAAAGACCAAGAGGCACCACAATGGTATTTTCTGTGTTTTTCGAAGTCTGTAGCTGGGGCGTTTGAAGAGATTCCGTTCATTCTTCCACTTTTCAGATTCACTTCTGGCTCCCAGTCCTGAAAGTGATTAGGAAGAGAGAGAAGAAGGCTGTGAATGAAGATGACCCGTGAGAAACATGGAGTCCCTCTTCCTGGGTCAGTCGCCGCTTGCTGCTCAACAACAGAGGGCGGTCTGAGAAGATCTACATATGTTTGGGTTTCCAGGATCCCCTTCCCCAGCTCTGGTGATTTCTCCAGCTGCTTGTCAATCATGATGACAAACGGCTCTGGGATAAACGGCTTCTCAGCCCGTCTTCCCAACCAATCGCGGAATCTAGACTGGATCACGGCTAAAAGGACTCTGATGGCTTGAATGAGGATGTCCTCCGGGGGCCCCGAAGTTTGAAAACTTTGTCCTCGGTGGATGGGGCTGTCTGGGGGAGGCTTAAGAGCTGTCTGCGGCCTTGCCGTCACTGGAGAAGGGTTTTTCAGTCTTAGAAGCTACGCACCAAGTCCCATCTGCTCTCTGCTTCCAGCTTCCGGCTGGAGATGGCGCTCTCAGCTGTTCCTGCCTCCGTGTTTGCCATCTCCTCATTCCCCCGCTGTGGCGGGGGCAAGCCTCACCTCTCTGGAACCCTAAGTCCACGCAAACCCTTTCTCCTGTAAGTTGCCTCGGTTTATCACTGCACTAGACAAATAAGCAGTAGAGAGGCTACGTTCAGGCCTCTTGTTGAGGAGTCCCAGTGTAGGGCCAGAGAAATAAAAATCAGAAAAAGCAATTATGAAGACTCTACATCAGTCTCACGGGCACATGCTAAGAACTAGGGTATGCAAGGTCAGCGGTGCGTCTATTAATCTCCTGGTTTCCTTCTGCCCCCTCAGTGTCTTCCATAGGATGTGTCTCCCAGTGCTACCCACAAGGCACCTCTCTTCCCTTTGGCAAAGCCTCCTTCTGAAGCATGTTTACAGGAACACCCAGGTTCTTCCCATTACCCCCTCTTCCCTCGTACCCTGTAGCCTTTTTTTCTTGTCTCTTGTAGTAACGCCTCCGTACGAAGTTTTGACATGGGGAGGGTGCTGCGCAGCCTCCTGGGACAGGCATATTAAAACCCACATCTGGGGTCTCTTTTCGCCCTTTCTATCACACGATATCTAGAAGAGTGGAAATCTCCTTGAATACTGATCCCATCATCTCTAAGCACCAGAAGACAAAGTCCTCTCTTCCTTTTTTTTTTTTTTTTTTTTTTTTTGGTTTTACAAGACAGGGTTTCTCTGTATTGTTTTGGATGCTGTCCGTCCAGCCCGGCCTCGAACTCACAGAGATCCGCCTGCCTCTGTCTCCCGAGTTCTGGGATTAAAGGCGTGTGCCACCACTGCCCGGCGTCTCTTCCTTTTTTAAAAAAAGTTTTTATCTTTTCATTTTGAAACTTTGCAGCCTTATAAAAAGTCGAGGAAACAGCATGAGGTTGTGTTTGCCGTGATCTCCCAACATTAGCATCTTACATACAATCTCAAATCAGAAATCAGAAAAACAACTTTGAAAGACACAGAACCAGGAGCTCTTATTCCGTTTTTACCAACCAAAGGACTGCCCCTCCTGGACCCTGGATTCAAGCCAGGATCCCACGTTACCAGTAATGGTGCTGTTTCTCCAGTCATTCCAATCAGGGGTAAACCTTGGCATTTCCCTTGCCCAGGACACCTTTGGAGAATCACGGCCAGTTACTTTATCTCCTTCCGTTCGGATTTGCAAAGGTTCCCTCTTAGTTAAGCCAGGGTGATGTGTTTCAGTTGAGAACACTACCAATATCTGTATTTTCCTTCCTGCATCGCAGCAGGAACCCCGTGTTTCTGACGTGCTGCTTTTGATCACAGGGCGAAGGTGACATCTGGCGAATTCTTCCATCGTAATTATTGTTTTCCTTTGTAATTAATAAGCACCGGTGGGGAGAAACCTTGAGACTACACACGCGTCCTGCTTAGCATGCGTTTACCCTCTAATTTTAGCCTCTGTGGATGCAAAAATTATTACCATGGTGACTAAATAGTGATTTTCTAGTGTAATGATTTCTTATATGTCTCTTACTTATAATGTGTAATCATTCCCTGTGAGGAACATTTGTGTTTGTGTGTGTGTGTGTGTGTGTGTGTGTGTGTGTGTGTGAAGGAGTAAACAGAAGCAAGCATTTTACACACACCGCCTCGTTTATGCTTAGAACCCTGTGAGGTTGGTGCCGGGCAGACAAGGAGACGGCAGAAAGCAGGGAAAGCATCCCAGGGAAGAGGCACGTTAGACAAGGACTGACTCCCTTCTTCCCAGAGGCTTTGGGTCAGAATGTCTGCACACGTCTGTTCTTTCTCAGATCTGCACGTCTCTACCCCCACCTCAAACCTACTAGGGAAGGGTGGGAGCTCTCTCGGCGTTTCAATAGCAAAATAACTGGGACCGCCACATGATCCGAGGGCTACATGAGATTCCAGGAGTTGGAACCTGAGGGACTGACAGCCAGTCAACACTTGTTGGCATTTTGGACGACGGTGAAAGGGTCCAAGTAGGATGTCCCCCATGCAGCTTGTGACCTTAGCCTCAGGCCCCCTGTGCTGTCTGCAGGCTTTTCTGGCTAGACCACTTCCTGCTCTGTCGAGGTACAGCATTGCATCCCTGCTAACCTTTCGGCAGACGGCCAGCAAGGTCACGGAGATGGGCCCGAAAGATGGGCATTCTCTGCTGAGTCCCCAGGTCGCTGGTTTCTTCACCATCCGCTGAGGCGGGCCCCTTAGGTCAAAAACCCTGGCCTGCTGTGCCAAGGCTCTCCACATTCGAGCAGCTGTTTACCGTCTGGCGACCGCCTGCTTTGCACACCTGTGGAGACCTCCCTCACTTCTTGCTGCCCAGCAGTCAGCTAGAGCCCTGTGGTCTTCAGACAGCAAGTCCTGTCAACCTACTCACTGCTGACCCATACGCCCTCGGCCATGCTACAGAGCAAGGAACTGGCTCCCAGGATCCCCTTGTCCCCCCGAGACATCACACTGTCCCCTGAGAGTGCCCTAAAGCTCTCCTATAGTTTGAGGCTATCTCACAGTTCAGGTTGGTCTTTCGCTATGACGGACAACTGAATAAAGCCATCTGTATTAATGACGCCTCTGCTCTTACCTTTCCCCCTCCTTTATTGAAGATTTGGCCCCCAAATCGTCCATAAAACGTAATCTCTATTTTTCTTTATTCTTTATTCGTGGTTATTTATTATTTTAAAGACCGCAAGCTTCAGTCCCAGAAACATCACTTCGGTCTGACCTAGCCACAGTAGGTGTGGAGTGGCATTCATTTTTAAAATTTTCATTTTCCTGAAGGCTGACAATGTTGTATATCTTCTCAGGGGCTTATTCACTATCTGTAGAACTTCCAAGAAGTCTGTTAAAATGTTTTGCTTTGGGTTTTTGCTTGTTTGTTTGTTTGTTTGTTTGTCTTGGTAGTTTTTTGAGACAAGTTCTCTCCCTGCAGCCCTGGCTGTCCTGGAACTCACTATATAGACCAGGCTGGCCTCAAACTCATAGAGATCCACCTGCCTTTGACTCCCGAGTGCTGTTATTAAAGTTGTGTGCCACACATTCAGTTAAAGATTACTACACAGCCCTGGCTGCCTGGGGGCATACTCTATAGACCAAGCTGGCCTGGAACTCATAGAGATCCACTCGCATCTATGTCCAGGATGATAAGTTTAAAGGCCTGCTTTTGTACATGTAAACATACATACTGTTGTGTTTGGTAGGATTGGAAGGCAGAATCCATTTGGAGTACATTGGTTGGCATTCATCATTTAAGAGGCGCTCACATTGCTTTGTCAGCAGCCCCCAGGCTGGTAACAGGTTGTAACTCCTACGATGCGTGGAGCCCAGATCATCCTCAGAGGCCCTGGCTTTGCTGCTAGGGCAGGATCCCCACGTTGGCATGTTTGGAGCTTCTTAGTGATTCTCGAAGGCCACTGGGAGGCCTCTGGGATTCGGAATCACGTGCCACAGACTCTTACAGAATTAGAAACCTTCAAGGAACCTGTGTTAGAGATGTGTCTGATTCGGCCTTTCTCAAAAGAGGTTCCTCTCACCACTCGCCCCGTGGTCACTTCATGAAAAGAGGGCCGTGTAATAAATGAATCACAAAGCAGATTGGGGTAGTGGGAAAACTCTTAGAAACTCTGCAACCAAGAAATCCCTCTTAACTGTGGTCACCCAGGATTTTCCCTGACCAGTTAGACCACCAGACAGTTGCCTCTGTGGTTATCATAAATGTATCATCCTTTAGACCCTGTTATAGTAAGAGCATACAGAATTGTAGAGAGAAGCCTTTTTCTTGTCTTCCTCTTGGTTTTTCCCCACCAGTCGCCTGAGCTCTGCCGCGTTGTAGTCCCCAAATAACACACAAGACGCTGTATTAATTATGAAACCGTTGGCCTTGCTTGTTTCTTACTGGCTAGCTCTGACTTAAGTATTTATCCCATAATTGTTAATCTAAGTATTTTCTCTTACCGGAGAAAAGTTTCCAGGCTTCCTACCCCTATGGTGGTTACATCTTGACTCCCTGTGTTTCTCCTACCCAGAGTCCTCCTCAACTCCTAGTCCCACCTATCTTACTTCCCTACTGGCCAACAGTGCTTTATTGACATACACACAGGATTTCCACATCACAGAATCGCTATGAAGGTCAGCCAGAAAAGGATTCAGGAAGGCAAAGATGAATTTGCCGTTGTGACTTGTTAAAACGCCAATAATTTTGTGCCCTTGTCTTCATGTGCCTGTGTAGAGTGGGTTTTGTCTGCTTTTACTGTAAAAGGGATTGATTCCTGGCTCCAGGGCCTTCTACATGATAAGCAAGTGCTCTCCCAAAGAGTCGAAACCTAGACCCGCCTGTTACATTTTCTAAGCAAAGGTGTGTGTTAATAAATGTATATAATGAACGATTGTATGCACCTCTTCTTTCACAGATTCTGTGTCTGTCAATTTCCCCTGAGGACCTAATCAGTCACAATTACAGTGTGGAGTATATTGAAGCTGTCAGTTTTTGCTCTTAATTCACCTATGAC